GGCAGTTCAGGGAGGTCCCCAAACTAAGAGGGGGGGGGGTCTCCAAGGCCCCAGGGGTCTCCAGGGGGACGTCCCCAGGCCGCCCCCAGCCCCTCTCACCCTTGAGGGCAATGCCAAGGGTTTCCAGGGGGAGTCCCCAAGCTATCAGGGTCTCCAAGACCCCAGGACTCTCCAGGGGGTTTCCCAAGCTATCAGGGGTTCTCCAAGGCCCCAGAGGTCTCCAGGGGGACGTCCCCAAACTGTGAGGGGGGTCCCCAAAGTACCAAAGCAGTTTAGGGGGGGACTCCAAGGCCCCAGGACTCTCCAGGGGGAGTCCCCAAGCTATCAGGGAGTCCTTAAAGTGCCAAGGCAGTTCAGGGGGTTCTCCAAGGCCCCAGCACTCTCCAGAGGAACGCCCCCAGACCATCCCCATCCCCTCTCACCCTTGAGGGCGACGCCGTTGCGCCGGATGGCCATGATGGCGCTGTGCACCTCGTCCTCGGGGCCTCGGCGCCCACCCGCACCTCCTCGAAGTCCACGGGGACGCAGGCGCGCCTGGGGGGGGGTCAGGGGGCCTCAGGGAAGGTCCCAGGAACACCCCCAATATTGGGGAGGGGTCTCAGAGAGGGGGCAGCACCCACCTGAAGACCTCCTTGACGTGCAGCATCAGCTCGGGGCCGATGCCGTCGCCCGGGATCAGCGTCACCGTGTGCCGGCCCCCGTACTTGGCTGGGGGCTGGGGAGGGGGTCAGGATGAGGGTCTGTACCTCCCAACCCCATCCCAACCCCTCTTGCTGCCCCCTGTGTCCCCTCCCCAATTGGGACCACCTCCACCCGCTGGGCACGCCCGTGTGGTTTTTTGGGAGCCCCCTATGGTTTTGGGACCCTCTTGGGTCCCCCATGATTTTGGGACACCTCCCCATCGGGTGTCTCCATGGTTTAGGACCCCCTGGGCTTCCCCAGGATTTTGGGAACCCTCCTGGGTCCCCCTTGGTTTTGGGACCCCCGTGTGTTTTTGGGACCCCCAATGGTTTTGGGACCCTCTCTGGGTCCCCCCATGATTTTGGGATCCCCCTCTGGGTATCCCCATGGTTTTAGGACCCCCTGGGCTTCCCACATGATTTTGGGACCCCCTTCTGGGTCCCCCCCTTGGTTTTGGGACCCTCTGGTGGTTTTGGGACCCCCTGGGTCCCCCATCGTTTTGGGACCCCCTGTTGGTCCCCCCATGGTTTTAGGACCCCCTGGGTCCCCCATGATTTTGGGATGCCTCCCCCGGTGTCCCCACAGTTTTAAGACCCCCATGGGCTTCCCCAGGATTTTGGGAACCCTCCCTGGGTCCCCTCTGGTTTTGGGACACCCCGGTGTGATTTTGGGGTCCCACCCTCTTGAATCCCCCATGGTTTTGAGACTCCCCTGGGTCCCCCATTGTTTTGGGACTCCCTCTTGGTCCCCCCACGGTTTTGAGACCCTCCTTGGGTCCCCCTGCGGTTTTGGGACCCCCTCTGGATCCCCCATGGTTTTGGGATTCCCTCTGGATCCCCTCCTGGTTTTGGGACCCCCTGGGTTTCCCCATGGTTTTGGGAACCCTCCTGGGTTCCCTCAAGTCTTGGGACCCCCATGGTTTTGGGACCCCCTGGATCCCCCCATGGTTTGGGACCCCCACGATTTTGGGACCTCTCCCTTGGTCCCCTCATGAATTTGGGACCCCCGCCCTGGATCCCCCATGGTTTTAGAATGCCCCTCCTGGATCCCCCAGGGTTTTGGGACCCCTCCCCAACTCCCCCATGGTTTTGGGACCCTCCCTGGATCCCCCACCCCCATAATTTTGGGAGACCCCTAAGTTTCCCCCATGATTTTGGGCCCCCCAGTGCACCCCCCAATATTTTTAGGGTCCTCTGGATCCCCCCATGCTTTTGAGTCCCTCCCCCATACAACCCCCAATATTTTTAGGACCCCCTCAGGTTCCCCCATGATTTTAGGGACCCCCTCATGATTTTGGAGCCCCCATAATTTTGGTGCCCCCCAGTACTCACAATGCTGCGTTGCTGTAGGGTCGGTGGTGGGGAGGGGGAAGGAAATAGGGTGTCAGTGACAGATTTAGGGGTCAAGACCCCAAAACCCCCTTAAGCCCCCTTAAAAACCAACAATTTCCCCCCCCCTCCTTTCCCAAATATCCAACCCTGACCCTTCAGGAACCCCTCCCCCAAAACAACCCCCCCACCATAAAAGGGGGGCTCAGAACCATCCCCAAATTTGGGGAGGGGGTCACAAGGCTCCCATTGTCCCCTCCCCCAATATAAAGGGGGGTTGGGGACCCCCCCAGAATGGGGATGGGGACCCCCAAACTTCCCCCCTCGGAGATGGGAGGGGGAACCCCCTACCCAGAATAGGGGGCACATTTGACCCCTCCCCAAAATCTTAGAGGGTCCTGAGATATTGGGGGTGGAGGAGGGGGGGACTGAGGTGAAACCCCCCCCCCAAAAAAAGGGGGACACTCACGGGGGGGAGATGGAGCCGCTCGGCACTGTGGGAAATCCAGGCCTGTGGAATCCACACCTGGAGGGGAAAGGGGGGGAACAGGGGATGTGACCCCCCCACACACACACTCCCAAAGACCCCCCCCCTTTGCATCCACCCAGGTCCCAAGAGCCCCCCCAAAAAAGAAGCCCGGACACCCCTCCTCAAAGGGACCCCCAAAATTCCCATCCCCGGGACCCCCAAAATCCCCCGGGACCCCAAAATCACCTCCTGAGACCCCCAAATCCCCCCAGATCCCCTATTTGTGCCCCAAAATCACTCCCTGGACCCCCAAAATCACCTCCTGAGACCCCCTAAAGTCCCCCTGACCCCCCTTTGTGCCCCAAAATCACCTCCCTGAGATCCCCAAAACCCCTTCCCCAACCTCACTTTGTGCCCCCAAAATCGCCCCTGGAACCCCCAAAATCACCTCCCTGAGACCCCAAAATCCCCCAATATCCCCTATTTGTGCCCCCAAAATCGCCCCCTGAGACCCCAAAATTGCCCCCGGACCCCTCGTTTGTGCCCCCAAAATCGCCCCCGGGACCCCTAAAATTACTCCCCAGACCCCCATTTGTGCCCCCAAAATCGCCCCCTGAGACCCCCAAAATCGCCCCCTGAGACCCCCAAAATTGCCCCCGGACCCTCGTTTGTGCTCCCAAAATTGCCCCCCCTGTTCCCAAAATCGCCTCTCTGAGACCCCAAAAATCCCTTCCCAGAGCCCCCTTGTGCCCCCTAAAATCGCCCCCGGGACCCCCAAAATTCCCTCCCGGGACCCCAGTTGCCCCCTCCTCCGGTTGCCCCGCCCTCCATAAATATCAGCCAATCACCGCACAGATCACCACCCCCGGTCCCGCCCACCCGGCCGAGCCTCAACCAATCAACGTAGGCGATGCCGCACCGCACCCCCCCACACCTCCTCATGGCAGCAGCCAATCAGAGCGCGATCCGTCGCCCCCGCCCCCCCCGCGCACGCGCCGCTCCGTCAGGGCGCGGCCTCGCGCTGCCGGTGCGGCGGGAACCGGGCGGCGAGAGGGGCCCGTTCGGGTGGCTCGGACCGGGCTCTGATCGGGCTTCGTCACTCACCGCTCTCCGCCGCAGCGCGGCCCGGACCAGGCGCGGCCGCGCCGCCGCCAGCGCCGCCGCCGCCGCCATGATGCTCCCCCCTCCGCCGCTCGGCGCAGATCTCGCGAGATCTCTGCGCCCGCCCCACGCGCGGAGCGGCGGCTCGGCTCGAAATCTCGCGAGAGTTCTCTGTGCCGTTGCCACACCCCCCTCTCCCCTCACGCCGCCATTTTGTGCCTCGGAGCGGCCTCGGCGCGACGCGGGAAAGGCGGGGACGCCCCCGCCGTTTTGCCCCCGAGGGGCGGCATCGCCCGAGCGCGGAGCCCTTTGCTCCCGGACTGTGCTTTGCTTTCAGGGCTAAAAACATAAAAAAAAAAAAAAAAACAAACACAAAAACGGGCGGGGAAGACCCCGCGGCCACCGCCCCACAGGCAGCGGTCGCTATGGCAACGCGCGCGCTGCTGCGCATGCGCCAGGGCGGGACGGCGCCTCCCGCCGCCATTTTCCCCTCTTGCTCATGCCCCTCCCATATTAACCACGCCTCTCCCCTATTAACCACGCCCCTCTCTCATTAACCACGCCCGTAAATTGCTTAACCACGCCTCCATAACTACTCGGTCACGCCCCTTTTCCATTGACCCCGCCCCCCTCGAGAGCCACGTGGCGCGCCGGCCGCTCGCGCGCCCTCTCCCCATTGGCCGGAGGGCGCGCGGGATCCCCGCCTGCCGCGCTCTGATTGGCTGTTGCCGCCCGGGGGGGCGTGGCCAGAGGAGCCGGCACATCATGGCGGCTCTGGCGGGGGTCGCGGTGCTGCTGCTCGTGGGGGCCATCGGGGCCCGGGGTACGGGGGGGCCCCCCCGGCTGGGGGGGCTTTTGGGGGTCCTTTTGGGCGCTGGGAGGGGTCCCTCGGGCCGTTGGGGTGGTGTGGGAGGTGAGGGGTCCCCGGTTGTGGGGGGCTTTTGGGGGGTCCCGTGGGGGTCCTAATGGGGGGGAGGGTCCCGTGGGGACGTCCCGGGACTTTCGTGGGGGGTCCCGTGGGGTAGAGGGGGTCCCGAGGGATTGGTGTTCCTCCGCCCCCCCCTCGGAGGGTCCTTGGGTATTGGGGTGTCGTGGAGGGTCGGGGAAAACTGTGGCGTGGGGGGTCCCCGGGGTTGTGGGGCCGTTGGGGTGGTCCTGGGGCGTTGGGGGGTCCCTTTGGGGGTCCCCAAAGTTGTGAGAGCCGGGGAGGTCCCTTTAGGGGTCCCTGAAGTTGTGAGAGTCGGGGGGTCCCTTGTGGGGTCCAGTGGGGGGGTTTCCCAAGTTGTGACAGGGAGGGGTCCCTTTTGGGGATCCCCAAAATTTGTGAGAGCTGGGGGTTCCCTTTGGGGGTCCCCAAAAGTTGTGACAGCCGGGAGGGGGTCCCTTTGGGGGTCCCCAAAATTGTGAGAGCCGGGGAGGTCCCTTTAGGGGTCCCTGAAGTTGTGAGAGCCGGGGGTCTCTCTGGGGGTCCCCAAAAGTTGTGAGAGTCGGGGGGGTCCCTTTGGGGGTCCCCAAAGTTGTGAGAACCATGGGGGTCTCTTTGGGGATCCCCAAAAGTTGTGAGAACCAAGGGGGTGTCCAATGGAGGGGTTCCCTTTGGGGGTCCCTGAAGTTGTGAGAACCAAGGGGGTGTCCAATGGGGGGGTCACTTTGGGGGTCCCCAAAATTTGTGAGAGCCGGGGGGGTGTCCAATGGGGGGTCCTTTGGGGGTCCCCGAAGTTGTGGAGAACCAAGGGGGATTCAATGGGGGTCCCGACCAACCGCGCTCCTTCAAACCCCCCCAATTCCCATCCCATGGGGGGCGGCTCCAAAGTCACTGTGGGGGTCCAATGAGTGCAGGGGGTCTCTGACACCCCAACTCCCCCTTCCCCCTAGGTGAGCCCTGCCCGAGGCCCACCATCGCCCCTCCTACTACACCACGTCGGACGCCGTCATCGCCTCCGAGAGCGTCTTCGTGGTGGAGATCTCGCTGCTCTGCAAGAACGGGGCCCAGGTGGAGACCCCCAAATTAATCTGGGGGTTGGGAGGTGGAGAGACCCCTGACCCCCCTGAGCGCCCCTCCCCGCAGAACGTGGCTCTCTACGCCGACGTGAACGGGAAGCAGTTCCCGGTGACGCGCGGGCAGGACGTGGGCAGGTACCAGGTGAGGTTTGGGGGATTTTGGGGGTTTTGGGGGTTGGGGAGCTCAGGTGAGTGTTTGGGGGTCCCCGTGGGGAGGGGGGTTGAGAGGGATCTGGGTGAGGTTTGGGGGGCTCAGGTGAGTTTTGGGGGCTCAGGTGAGTTTTTGTGGGGCTCAGGTGAGTTTGGGGGTGCTAAGGTGTGTTTGGGGGTCTCCCGTGGGGGAGGGGGTTGAGGGGATCTGGTGAGGTTTTGGGGGCTCAGGTGAGTTTGGGGATCCCATGGGGGAGGGGAGGGCTGAGGGGGTTCAGGTGAGGTTTTGGGGGCTCAGGTGAGTTTGGGGGGCTCTGGGTGGGGCTCAGGTGAGTGAGAGTGGTTTGGGGTGCTCAGGTGAGTTTGGGGGTCCCCGTGTGGGAGAAAGGGTTGGGGGGGCAGGGAGGTTTTGGGGGCTCAGGTGAGTTTGGGGGGCTAAGGTGAGTTTGGGGGTCCCCGGGGGAGGAGAAAGGGTTGGGGGGCTCAGGTGAGTTTAGGGGTTGTTCAGGTGAGGGAGAGTGGTCTGGGGGGCTCAGGTGAGTGTTTGGGGTTCTCCCGTGGGAGGAGGGAGAGGTTGAGGGGATCTGGTGAGGTTTTGGGGGTTGCTCAGGTGACTGGGGGTCCCCATGGGGGAGGAGAGGGTTGAGGGGGTTCAGGTGAGGTTTGGGGGGTTCAGGTGAGTTTGGGGAGGCTCAGGTGAATTTGGGGGCCTCAGAAGAGTTGGGGGAGGCTCAAGTGAGGGGGGGCTCAGATGAATTTGGGGGGCTCAGATGAGTGGGGAGGGGCTCAGGTGAGTTTGGGGGAGCTCTGGGGGCTCGGGTGAGTTTGGGGGAGTTTGAAGGGGCCCTGGGGACTCAGTTGAGTTTGGGGGGGCTCAGATGAATTTGGGGTGCCTCAGGTCGTTGGGGCAGCTCAGATGAGTTTGGAGGAGCTCTGGGGGTCTCAGGTGAGTTCTGGGTGGCTCAGCTGAGTTTTGGGGGGCTCAGGTGAATTTGGGGGGCTCAGATGAGTTGGGGGGGCCTCAGATAAATTCGAGGGGGGGTCTCAGCACCCTCTTTCCCCCCCCCAAGGTGTCCTGGAGCCTGGAGCACCGGCAGGCGCAGTCGGGCACGTACGAGGTGAAGTTCTTCGACGAGGAGTCCTACAGCGCCCTGCGCAAGGTGGGCACCCCCAGGACCCCCCCTTTGCCTCCTGGGGGGACCCCCACACCCCCTCCTCACTCCTGGAGACCCTCCCTGACCCCCCACCCCTTTTCCCCCTTTTTCCCCCAGGCCCAGAGGAACAACGAGGACGTGTCGCGGATCCGGCCGCTCTTCACCGTCAACGTCGACCACAGGGTGGGGTTTTGGGGGATTTTGGGGGTTTTGGGGGTCTTGGAGGTTTTGGGGTGCACCAAGGATTTCAGGGGATGCCAAGGATTTCAGGGGTTTTTTTTTGGGGGGGGATTGCAGAGGTTTAAGGGGTGGATATTTAGGTTTTGGGGGGGTTTGGTGGTTCGGGGAGGTGGGCGCTGGGATTTTTTGGGGTGGGGGTGTCAAGGATTTTCAGGGAGTGGCACTGGGATTTTGGGGGGTCCTCAGGGTTTTTAGGAGGGTAGCACTGGGATTTTGGGGGGTCCCAGGGTGATTAGGGTTGGGTTGACGTGGGGATTTCGGGGTGTCCCAGTGTTTGTAGGGAGTTGTCGTTGGGATTTTGGGGTGTCCCGGGGTTTTTGGGAGGCAGGCACGGGGATTTTGGGGTGTCCCCAGGGATTTTCAGGGGGTGACCCTGGGATTTTGGGGTGTCCCAGGGTTTTTAAGAGGGTAGCACTGGAATTTTGGGGTGTCCCAGGGTGTTTAGAATGGGAATGATGTTGGAATTTTGGGGTGTCCTGGTGTTTTTAGGAGGCAGCCACTGAAATTTTGGGGCACCCCAGTATTTTTAAGGGCTTGACACTGGAATTTTTTGGCCATTCCAGAATTTTTAGGAAGCACCCCCTGGGATTTGGGGCCATCCCAGAATTTTTAGGAAGCACCCCTTGGAATTTTGAGCCCTCCCAGGATTTTCAGGAAGCACCCCCCGGGATTTTGGGCCTTCCCAGAATTTTCAGGAATCACCCCCTGGGATTTTGGGCCATCCCAGAATTTTTTGGAAGCATTTTCCTGGAGTTTTGAGCCATCCCAGAATTTTCAGGAAGCACCCCCTGGAATTTTGGACCTTCCCAGAATTTTTAGGAAGCACCCCTTGGAATTTTGAGCCTTCCCAGAATTTTCAGGAACCACCCCCGTGATTTTGGGGCCATCCCAGGATTTTCAGGAAGCACCCCCCAGGATTTTGGGCCATCCCAAAATTTTTAGGAAGCATCCCCTGGGATTTGGGGCCATCCCAGAATTTTTAGGAAGCACCCTGTGGAATTCTGGGGCCGTGCCAGGGGATTTTCATCGACACCACCCTGGGATAGGGGGGAGGATTCAGACCCTGCATTTCCATCCCAGCGCCCTGGGGGGGGGTTCAGGGGTCTCTGGGTGGGCTGGGGGGGTCTGTAGAATTTAGGGGGTCTGTAGAATTTAGGGGGTCTGTAGAATTTAGGGGGTCTGCAGAATTTAGAGGCCTCCCCTTTTTCCCCCTGCAGGGCGCCTGGAACGGGCCCTGGGTGTCCACGGAGGTCGTGGCCGCTGCCATCGGGCTCGTGGTTTATTACCTGGCCTTCAGCACCAAGAGCAGCATCCAGGCCTAGGACCCCCCCAAAAACCCCCAAAACACCCCCAAAACACCCTAAAACACCCCAAAACACCCTCAGGGGGTCCTCAGGGCTGGGGAAGGAGGAGGGACCCCCCCAAAACGCCAAACAACCCCAAAAATGTGGGGGTTCCTCCCCCTCCCAACCTCGAGTTGGGGGTGTCCCCCCTCAAAGGGGGGGCTGCTGGAGACCCCAAAATTTTGGGGGGCTGGAAGGTGTGTGTGGGTTGTGGCCCCCCTCTTATTTTTGCCATAAGGGGGGCCCAAATTTTGGGTCCTGGTTGTATCTTAATAAAATGTGGTTTTCCTCCCAAAAAAAAATTGGGGGTCTGGAATGTGGGTGTGTCCCCCTTTTATTCGTGCTTGGGGAGGGGGTCCCCAAATTCCTTCTCCTCTCTCGGTTTTAGCCCAATAAAATGCGTCCCCCCCCCCAAATTTGGGGGTCTGGGAGGTGCCCCCACCCCTCCATTTCCCACTGGGGGGGGGGATCCCCAAATTCCCCCTCCTCATTCCCCAATAAATTGGGGTCTGGAAGGCCTCCTCCTCCAAATTCCAACTGGGGATCCCTAAATTCCCAAAATAAAGGCGTGGTTGTTCCCCCGTGTTTTTTGGAGGGTTGCCCCCTTCCCCTGCAATTGATGACGTCATAGGCAGCCATTACGTCATCACGGGGGCAGGGGCAGCTTGAGGGGTGTCCTGGGTGGGTGGGGGTCCCTGGAGGAGGGGGAGGGGGTGGGGTTGTTTCCCATCAGCTCCGGGCGGGAACTGCCGGGAATTTTGGGAAGGGGAGGGCATTGCCCCAAAACCCTCCCCGCCCCCACCCACGCGAGGAGGGCCAAATAGGGGGTCCCACCCACCCAAAGGACCCCCATATCCGGGTGGGAGGGTCCCACCCAAACGGAAGGGGCGTGTCTGGCTCCTCCTCCCACCCCGGGGTCCCAGGAGTGGTTTTTTGGGGGGTCTCCTCCTCTCACAAGGGACCCCTTAGCCCCCTCCTCCCCACGGCGTCCCACCCGGGGTCCCAAATACTGCGGGGGTCCTTCCTCCCCTCTCCCTCCGATATCTGGGGGGTCCTTTCCCCCTCTCTCCGATATTTGGGGGTCCCAAATACTGCAGGGGGTCCTTCCCTCCCCACCTCCCCGATATCTGGGGGTCCCAATACTGCGGGGTCCTTCCTCTCCTCCGATATTTGGGGGTCCTCTCCCCTCTCCCTCCGATATCTGGGGGTCCTAAATACTGCGGGGTCCTTCCCTCCTCTCCCTCCGATATCTGGGGGGTCCTAAATACTGCGGGGTCCCTTCCTCCCTCTCCCTCCGATATCTGGGGGTCTCAGCCCTTCCCCAGGAGGGTCCCTGAACATCCGTGGAAAGGGGAGGGGGCTCTTGTTTGTGTCCCCCCATTTCAGAACCCCCAATACCCTGAGAGGGGTGGGAAGGACGAGAGCCCCCGGAATCCCCAAATAACCTGGGGTCTCCTCACCCCCTATTTCACCCTCCCCACCAAGATTTATACCCAAATATCCGGGAGGGGCTTCATCGTGCCCCCTCCCCCGGAGACCCCAATGCCCCCTCAACCCAGGGTGTCTTTAAAGCCCCCTGTGGGGTGGGGGGTGGGGAGTGTCCCACCCATCCTGGGGGTGGGGGCTCCTCTCTCCTCCCCCCAAAAACCGGGTGGTCTCATCACCCTCGTGGGTGGGGAATTTGGGGGTCTGTGTGGTCCCCAGGGCGTGGCCGATGTGGGCGTGTCCGTGGGGAAGGGGCGTGGCCATCGCCGCGGTGGGCGTGGCCATCGGCGCAGTGGGCGTGGCCAGCGGGGCGATTATGTCAACCCTGCGGCAGCCGCAGCCCCTGAGCGGGGAGCGGCAGGAGCAGGTAAGGGCCGGGGGCTTTTTGGGGAGTCTGGGGTCTCAGGGGTCCTGGGGATCCCCGGGGTGATGCCGAGCCGGGGGTCCGGGGGTTTCGCGGGGAGAGAAATGGAGCGAAAGGCGGTGATTGCTGTTGAGGGTGGGGTGGGGTGTGGGGTTGGGGGTCCCTCGGGGGTGGGGAGGGGGTAAAATGGGGGATGAAGGGTCTGGGGGTGGGGGCGATGGGAGGGGATGAAAGGGTCTTTGAGGGGGTAAAGGTGGGTTTGGGGGCTGGGAGGGGTTGAAAGGGGTTTGGGGAGGGGTGTGCGTAGGGATGGGAGGGGTAAAGGCGGGGAGGGGCTGCGAGGGGGTGATTGGGGGTCAGTGGGGATGGTGAGTGGGGGCGTGTCAGGGGATTTGGGGGTTGCGAGGGGGTAAAAGGGGTTGAGGGAGGTGGGCTGGAGGTGGAAGGGTTAAGGGGTCTGGGGGTGGGAAGGGTTAAAGGGGGTCTGGAGGGTGGGAGGGGGTAAAAGGGGGTCTGAGGGTGGGAAGGGTTAAAGGGGGTCTGGGGGGGGGTAGGGGTCTTGGGGTGAGGGTAAAGGGAGGTCTTGGGGTGGTCTGGGGGTGGGAGGGCTGAAAGGGGGCTCTGGGAGGGTTTTTGGGGGCTGGGAGGGTTAAAGGTGGGCTTAGAGGGTGTTTATTTGGGGGCTGGGCAGGGGGAAAGGGGTCCCTAAAGGTGCGGGGGTGGGGAGGGGTCTCTGTGGGGCCGGGTAGAGCTAAAAGGGGGTTTTATGGGGTCTCTGTGGGGTCAGGATGAGGTACAGGTGGATCTGTGGGGTCTGTGTGGGGCTGGGGGGTTTTATGGGGTCTCTATGGGGTCAGGATAAGATACAGGTGGATCTGTGGGGTCTCTGTGGGGCTGGGCAGAGCTAAAAGGGGGTTTTATGGGATCTCTATGGGGTCAGGATGAGGTACAGGTGGATCTGTGGGGTCTGTGGGGGTCTCTATGGTTTTATGGGGTTTCTATGGGGTCAGGATGAGCTATAGGTGGGTCTATGGGGTCTCTGTGGGGCTGGGTGGTTTTATGGGGTCTCTATAGGGCCAGGATGAGCTGTAGGTGGGTCTATGGGGTCTCTATAGGCCCAGGATGAGGTACAGGTGGATCTATGGGGTCTGTGTGGGGCTGGGTGGTTTTATGGGGTCTCTATAGGGCCAGGATGAGCTATAGGTGGGTCTATGGGGTCTGTGTGGGGCTGGTGGTGCAGGTGGTTCTGTGGGGTCTCTATGGGGTCAGGATGAGGCACAGGTGGATCTAGGGGATCAGGATGAGGCACAGGTGGATCTGTGGGGTCTCTATAGGGCCAGGATGAGGTACAGGTGGATCTATGGGGTCTCTATAGGGTCAGGATGAGGTAGAGATGGGTTTTTGGGGTCTGTAGGAGGCTGGGCAGATCTACAGGTTTATGGGGTCTCTATAGGGCCAGACTGAGGTGCAGGTGGATCTGTGGGGTCTGTGTGGGGCTGGCCAGGGGTACAGATTCTATGGGGTCTCTATAGGGTCATGTTGATGTACAGCTGATTCTATTCTGTGGGGTTTTTATAGGGTGAGATTGAAGCACAGGTGGTTCTGTGGGGTTTTTATAGGGTGAGATTGAGGCACAGGTGGTTCTATGGGGTCTTTATAGGGTAAGATTGAGGCACAGGTGGTTCTGTAGGGTTTTTATAGGGTGAGAGTGAGGTACAGGTGGTTCTGTGGGGTTTTTATAGGGTGAGATTGAGGCACAGGTGGTTCTATGGGGTTTTTATAGGGTAAGATTGAGGCACAGGTGGTTCTGTGGGGTTTTTATAGGGTGAGAGTGAGGCACAGGTGATTTATGGGGTCTCTATGGGGTCAGGGTGAGGTACAGGTGGTTCTATGGGGTCTCTATGGGGTCAGGGTGAGGTACAGGAGGTTCTATGGGGTCTTTACAGGGTCACATTGAGGTACAGGGGGTTTTATGGGGTGTCTA